TTTCATTACTTTTTTCTATTCAATTAAGGGAAAACCACTTTGTGAAATGAAGGCTTCCTTTCAGAAGGTACAGGACATGGGATACATGTATATATGTAGAACATATTAAACCAAAAGCCTCAAACATTTGAGGCAGTGTAGGACAGCACAGCAATAAGTGTTGACTAAAATGTTAGTCGTCAAAAACAAGTTCGAATACCAAGGGTTTAAAGAATACCAACACTTATCTCTTTAAAATCGCTGGATTTTTTTCTCAGCCCTACACTCTCCAGGAATCAAATTCATGTAGCGTTATTATTTCTCTCTTTTGAGAAATCATGTTGTGGCCAGTGTTACATGTACATAATTTTACCTAAATTTATGAATAAACGATTCAATAATTAATATTACATTTATATATATACATTAATTACACAACACATAACTAAAAAGTTAAAGGTTTTAAAATGAAAATAATAGTTGAAGTTAAAAGTTCAAAAGTGAAAGGTTAGAATGTTAAAAGTTCACTGTGCACAGTCTTATGCATACATGTACCAGGGCATGTATTGGCTGCTACTGCTTTATGTAGATTTGTAAAAATCACTGATTGAGAAGTTCTACAGACCTCAGGAGGAAACTGGATCTATATCGAATAGTTCTTCTTTTACATGATCTGTCGCATCTTCCCGATGGAAGAAGTTCATAGTTGTGTGACAAGACAAGACACTCACCATACGCAATGATAATCCTCGCTTTGTTCATCACACAGCGTATCAGCAATGCACAAGTTTTCCTAGCACAGCAAGGGCAAAAATGTGTTGCGGTACGCAGATAAATCTGACCATGTCAAATCTCAGATTGCCTTTTTGTAACTGTGGAAACAAAATGTCCAGTTTTTGAAGAAACAATTGAATTTACCAGTATTTACACAGTATTTCAGCAAAGCTAGATGTAGCCTTGTAGACACATTGTTGCAGCTATAATTACAATTGTACATGTACTGTACATGATTCGGTTATAAATGTGCACCGTGTCTTTAGCGACACCTTTAATTGCATTTTAAGGACAAAAATAATGCATACTCATTGTGCCGCTACACCAGATCACCATTGACAGAAATTTAGAGACATTTTGCCATCAACTGACAGGACACTAGTTTTGTGCATGAATTTAGCTGTACGTGTTGTTGTTTTGTTGCTTTCCCTCAACTCTATAATCTTAGGATCTTTGGTTCAGCCTTTGGTGCCAGTCTTAAAGTAAACCATGGAGCACCTGACGAAGATCCCTGTTCCGCATGTAGTAGATAACAACATTCAACCAGCTGTTGGCCAAAAGTAGGGCATCAGTGAATGAGGTGGCCAAGTACCCATCATAGAGTTCCCCTTCAATTTGTGAAACTATCGCCATCCCGAGGACTGTAGGAATCCAGGTGATGGCCAGAGTCCCTGTTATGATGATGATGGTGGTGGTTGATCTGGTGTTTATTCGCCGCCCACCTTGGCCATTGCCTGCTTGGTTTTCAGCAGCTATGCGTCGGGCTTGGTTGCGACTTATCATGCTGATATGTGCATACAGGATGAATATGGTTGCTAGTGAGATAACAAGAAATGCAACAACAATATATAGTCTCCAATCAACTCTTTCTCCTGTGCAGAATTTAGGGTTACCCCTTGAAACCGTTGCAGTGCCATAAAACCCAAACAACAGAGTGAACATTAAGAAGATAATTGCCCATGTACTGCATACCATGATCTTTGATCTGAACTCAGTCATCATTGAAGGGTAGCGCAGAGGATAAGAGATAGCAATGTAACGGTCTATAGTGACAAGAAGAAGTGAATTACAGCTTAGTGCGAAATACAAATGTGAGAACATTGGTTGCCACACAGAGAAAGTTACCTACATGTAGCTGCCAAGACCCAGCAAAGAGTTCCCACAGTCTGAAGAAGCGGCTTGTAGCGTTACCAAGGTCAGACAGGGTGAGGGAAGCCATGAAGATTTTGGTGGTCGGCTGGATGCTGGTGACACGCCGTAAAGTGAAGAGCATCAGTGGATTTAAGAGAAAAATCAGGACCATCAGCATGGTAAAAAGGGCTACAAAAATCCCGAACGGTGTTGGAACCAGATCCCGCCCCACATCTTCATCTGTGAAATCAGAGGTGATGTGCAATCCTGCAATTGTTGTGGTTTCCATGGTTGCCAGAGAGAGTTATGGAGATATATATATATATTAAACAAAAAAATGGCTTGTGACTTCAAATGGTCCCCCACTTCTATGACAGAGTAAGGCTTTGTCGTTCAGTGTGATGATTTGCTCATGAAGTTGAGCGCCGTTGTCACTGTCCAGGAATCAGTTTTCAATCAATATTTGCGCACATGAAGATTGAGTCATCACGGGATGAAGAAATAGCACTGCTACGTGTTTGTCTGTGGAGGTGAAGTCTTGTTCCGTTCTTCCGTTTAAATAGTAGTAAAAGTCAGCAGGTACTTTGAGCAGCTTCTTCTGCAGAGAGTTGAGCACTTTCAGATGTTGTTGCTTGCCTTGTGGACGAAATCCTTGAAATGTTGCAGCATCCACTTGACTTAGTGCAGACTCCGTTGTTTGTTCCTGCGTAGCATGATCATATCCCTCCTGTGCCTACGCTATTGGTGAATGAATGATGAATGGGCTGCACAAAGGAAAGCTACCGCACATGTTTGTAATTAGATTCATGTTTAGGGAGCAACATTCCGCTTTTTCGTTGTTATCTAGTGTGGGAGTCCAAGCATGCCTGACGTGATTGTCACCTCACAATTACATGTTCATTACTGCATTTTGTGAGGAGAGGTTATCATTGTGGATGTGATGGAACAGTGTGAGAAACGACACGGACTCCCCTAAGTGGCAGGTGCAATGGACGATTCTCACATCCCAATTCTGGCACCAAAAGATAAAGCAAAGGATTATTACAACAGGAAAGGGTTCCATTCTATTTTTCTACTGGCAGTTGTGGAATTTTATGGCAAGTTTGTCACTGTACATGTATGTGTTGGGTGGGCAGGAAGCATGCACTACGTCAGAGTTTTGACAAATTAAAAAACTATATGGCAGGCTGTATCAGTGGTACTCTGTCCCTCCCCCTGTGAGATTGAAGAAGTTGAGACCCAGTTACAATGTAAGATGCTTGGTGTCCCCGTCTACCCTCTTCTGCCCAACCTAATGAAGGCACATTCTGACCTTGGACATTTGACTTGCAGAGAGTTGCTCTTCTCAGTGTCTGATTTCAGTAGCTAAGGCTGAAGTGTTTGGAGTGTCATCACTTCCATTGTGACTTTCACCACAAGGAATCTTGGGAGGGGAGGTGGTGAGAGTGGATCTTCATACTCTGTGGAGAATGTTGAAGAATTGTTTTCACGTGACATGCGCATTCGAATCGACGCAAATTCTCCAGGTTTTGCAGCGATGCATTAGTACTCTGCGATGGATAACAGGTCATCTGGAATACAAACAATACTCAGGGAAATGCAAGCTTTTCATGGTATCATGTTCTGGCATTAGAAATTTGCATAATAGTGACATGCAACCCTTGAGTCCACAATAAATGACCTTTGACATCGCTACTTCATCACTTAAACAAACTATGTTGCAAAATGTCTTGGATATACACGTACATGTAGATGCATGATGTCCGTATGACTGAATAAAATTCACAATAAAATCTTCCAAAAGTTTACTGCAAACAAAAAATGCAACGGCAATTTATGATTGACTCATCACAATACGCAAAAAAAACGATTTGGGGTTCATACAAATATTTTCAAAATTAAATTGATTGCATTCTTGAGGGAAATTGCCATCAACGCTAGGCACTGGGTGATCTGAACTATTGAATTCCTAGCCCAACTGCTGGTCACTGTGCAGACTGCTGTCAAGTGATGCATCCTTCTCTGGAACAGGCTTTGATTGTGTGTCTGAATAGAACAGGATCATAGTCATTAGTTTTGAGACGTTCCGGTATAGCTGCATTTTCCCAGAAATCTACAACCAGGCAATAATTACAATAAGGTCTAGTACAATAAGTGAGTGGGCAAGATTATTTTCTCACAATATACAGCAACAACCTTTATGCACCAAATAACCACGTCTAGGGTTTCATGAACAAAATTTATGAACGCAGAAATATGAATAATCTTACGAAACTAAAATTGGATTACAGGTCATACGAGGGTGAAAATTCTGAAATTAAATCAGCACAACGGCCGAAACAGGAAGCAAATTGGCATATTATTCAACAGAGTTAGTAATTCCATAATCAAACAGTATTTGTGCTGTGATGTACGTTATTCAATTCAGCTGCGTGCATCACCCATGATAACACTCCCTAAATAACGTTATGAACTGCATTGAATAAACTGCTGAAAGTATGATCAAATTGTTAAAATATGAATTTGGAGTCTTATTTGAAGCACAGAGAATTTGCAGTGTGAAATATGGAGATGAATGTACAAAGTAGTCATCGATAATATGACTTAAGTTTACCGAAATCCTGCTTGTCTTCGACTTTTGTCAGCAATTTTGACTGGTACATGGGCCGCCAAGACTAACAGGCCCAGAAACCATCGGAATGGCTAATAAATAGGAACACATCTTGTGCCACCCCACCCATACATGCAACAATAATGCATTGTAGTTCATGTCTTACCGTCACTCTCTCCCTCTGGAGGTTCTAAAAACGATGCCAGGGGAGGGTTGACTGACGATCTGTAGCCAATGACTTGGTTCCGATCCTCATCATGTTCACAATTCTTACGGCCCCTCCAGCCTCTTCGATTAGAATTGACAGTTGCCTTGAACTTGTGTTTAAGGCCGTTGACTTAATTGCAAACACTTTCATGGGTCCTTTCGTAGGCAAGGGTATTTAACTTCTTGACGATTTTTTTGGTAGATCTTTGTATTTCATGTCAGCAGATCATCCAACGCATTCTGCATGTTGTCCTCTGACCATATCGCAATCAGGACTTTGACTTCTTCTTTCCCGCAGTTGGCTCCCTGGCGGTCTCGAAGCGTTCTCCGTCATCGCTGAAGATGTCGAGGGCCTTGACATGATGCTGGGAGAGAGGATCTGAAATTCGGTAGCGGAAGGAATGCTTTTCTTATGAATGGAACCGGAGAGAACGTGCAAGATCAGAGAGAACGTGGAGGAAGTAGGACATCAAAAGAAAATGGCGAATGACGAAAGGTAGGATGCATCAGCATGCGATTACATTGTATACCTCATTGTTTACAACAAAAGCGCGCCAAAGAAAAGTTGTTACATAACTCCAGACCACCAAGCTGGCTAAAACTGGATGCGTTTTAGCTAAAGCCATCTAGACACTTTTTAAAATCTTTTTGATGTAGCGCTAAACCCTCCCTCCGATTTGGTTTAAATCACTGTTTTAACTCAGAGATAAAACTGATTTGATGTAACTTGGAAAGTGTCTCGACATCATTTTTAGCGTAAAAAGTTACACTGAATTGAATGTAACAACTGATTTTAAGTGAATTTAATTTGACTGCAATACTACAATGTACATAAATTTTTATGTTCAAAGATCAGGAGTCCACAGAGTAAACATTTTGTGCTGAGTTAAAGTGTGAGGTGGATAATGGGGAAAAATCCAGGCTTTGGAACAGTTACAAGGCCGGCAAAAATGTAATGGGCCCTGGTCAAACCACTCATGAAGAACCCGGTTAGAACTTGATAAGGCAGCTTCCAGTATTGCCTCATCTGTGGACTACTGGATTTTTTAAAAACTTGGCATGAAAGGGTAGACACATTTGCGATTTTAAACCTTACAAATTTTCATCAAATGAAACACTTGGCAGGTAGTAGACATGTATTTCAATCTCATTGTACGTACATCTTTATATTTTTCTATGTACACATCCAATTTTAATGATTCTCAGCAAATCATCGCCAAATATTGACTTTTTCTTAAGAATTGTACCGGTACAGCTAGGTTCCACAAATCCCCATGTCAACATGAGTGCAAGGCACTCATTAATCAAATCCAACTTTAAATTTTGAGTACAAAAAGCGTTGTTGATGACAGATGTAATTTAGTTCACTAGCTTATTTCATTGTGTCAAATCTCTCACTGCCATTGAAGTGGCCTTTCCTGTGGCTTGCTTCAAGCAGCTTCACCCTTTCATTACTGATGTAATTTACATGTACATGTACATATGAACCATTTACAAAAGTCCACAATGGCACGGTCCATAATATTTATAAACAATAAATTGTCCGCGGACATGGAAATCTTGGAAAGTGAAGCGTAAAACTCTTGTAATGTTTGGTGCTTCATGCAGCATTGAGGTTCAGTACCCTAACACATACATGCACATGTAGATCAGAATAGCAAAAGTGAAATTGGAAATTAGGTTAATTGAAACAAACATGAATTTTAAGGATTTTAGTCAAATGTTTCTGTTACGTGGTCCCTGTAAGTCTTACTGGTTGTCCATTCCTGTATAGTGTGCTCACGTTTCTCTTTTGGCATCAACTGTCCATGGCTATTACATCATGTATATCTATTGTAGAACACAGTGGAACAAGACCTGAATGCAGATTGAGTAATTACTTGAGCCTTGATCAGAATGTGGACTGACTTGTTCAAGTTCTGATGTGGTGGAAGTATTTCCCAAAAGCTTGGCCTTTTTTGCCGTCGGTGCCATGTAATGAGGTGAAATGGAGCAGACATTTCCGATTTTGGCTGGCACTTTTATTGAGCACATGCGGCTTTTCAATTAAATGCCGAGGTTGTCTCCAACCCTAAGAATGGCCCCCAACAAATGAATTGAAGAGTAATTGTCATGTTTAAAGTAGGGTAGAACTTGTGTCAAACTGTCATTGAAGCAGTGATGAGAAACTGGACTTTTTGATACTGATTGGAAATAATGTTGAGTGCATGCTTGTTGGTTTCACTGTAGAAAGCTGCCCCCTGAAAATTGGGCATTTTTATTGGTTTTATGTGCATATTGAAGCCAATTTTTCTGACCAAGGAATGCTCGCTACTTCTTTTTCCAAAACGTGGGACCTTGCAGTTCTTTGCTAAACCACAAAACAGCAGGTTTTTAATAGTCATGATTTTATGGTTAAATGTTAGTTTAAAACCGGCCGAGTACATATTTATGTCAATATATCATAGATTTCCAGTGATTTTTTTTAAAGAATTTTTTATTTCATTTTTCAGTCATGTTGGCCGTTGTTGAATGGGGAAACTGTCGGAGGTATTCATGAATATCTGTTTACACAATAGGCTCAAACTTCCACTTTAATCATGTACATGTACATGTAAGTTATATGCACTTACAAAGTGCAAATCGCAATGGGTGCAATAGTGGGCCTCGACTAAGGGGTCATCCATTTTTGTCATCATTTTCACAAGCATACAGAGCGTACTCTTTTCCCTGGCTCCCCTCTCCCTGTCTAAGAGAGTACAAAATAAAATGCTGATTTCTCTGTGGTGCCTGGGGGCCCATTCTAACTCCCAATGTAAGGCTGTTAATGTGCAGTAGATGACCAGAGAATAGTAGCAGGAGGAAAATTAACGTCCATGACATCAGAGCAAGTCACTTGGTATGCTGAGAATTCAACTTGTTACTAGTAAGAAACACTCGAAATACATGTAGATATCGTCCATATACCCAGCAAGAAATGAGACCCAGGGGTACCCCCCCAGGATGTCCAATCCCTGTACACATTCCAGACTATTGTTACTTAACACATCCCCCACAAGATGTCTGAAAGGAATTCCCCCAGATTCCTGAGAGACAATGACCAACACAAATCAGGGGGGGGTTCTCTCCGTCTCATACCTTGCTGCATATGATCGTCCAATAGACGTTGGACGCACGCACGAGTGTGGGCCAGTTTCTTACATAAGGATTACCTGTATGTACAGTGTACAGTACACTTGTACCATCCATCACACTTGATCTGTAACGATGTGAAACAGCCTGCACATGTACGCTCTGCGAAACAGGAGTTGAAACTATGAACCAGACTGCGCGCATACATGTACATGTATAGCAGTAGGAAGCATAAACTGTGGCCGGTCCATAATAATCGATATTTTAATGTGTTTCTAAAGTGTACACAACCAATTAAACCCCCTCCCCCTAGCGTTTGGTTTGTATGCTCGTGAAAATGATGACAAAAAATAGATGACCCCTTAAAAGACACACTAAGTGCTGGGTCTTTTTGCGTCATGGCTCATTCTACTGTATAATTTATTCCATAGTGAGATCTCAGGAGGTTTGACATTCTCAAGGGAACTTGTTCAGACTGAAGGCAGATGGAGACTTGGCCACAGGGAGATGACCCATGCATCTAAAAGTTGACTCAGTAATTCAGCCTCTCTCCACTCTTTAGAGGAGCATGAGGGCAAGGGCTCATTTAGTGTTTGTTACACTTTGGTTGAAATCCCAACCTTCAATATGTTTGAACGTTGAGTTTGGTACTGGTAGCATTATTCTCCGAAGTATATACAAAAAATGGATGGTAGTTCTGTGAGGGTTAAGCTCTGGGATTAATTTCAGAAAACAGATGTAATTGAACGTCAGTGAGCTGGCCATGTGACTTTATTTATAGCTTTGATACACGTAGCAGCGCTGTACGGTGAGACCAAAAGAGTCACATTTGTGTAAAAAATGGTCATATGTGACCGTAGGTTTATTTCTTATCACCAATAGCGACCATGATTTGTGCCCATTAGTTGTCCACCTTGTCAGTCATATTTCACTAACAATTGCTGCCCAGTCTTACATGTACAATGTATGTGCCCAGTGCGATGTGTCTCTGTGATCATGCGTTTTGTTCTCATTACCTTGTACATGTATGTACATGTACACAGCATGAGCCCATGTTAAACTGCAGCATAGCTTTTATGCTGGTACATGTACATGCACACAGGTACTACATACATGTAAGTACCCGATTGGACTGGTTTGCGGTCACATAGAATGTGTATGGGGAGATGTTTCACCTGCGTATTCATTATATGTGCAATATATGCACCTACATGTATACAATCTGCATCCTGTGCAATAAACTTGGTTCAGTTCCAAATGTGATATGAAACCAAAAGGTTTCAAGGTTCCCGTGGTCCGGTCTGGTCCCAGGTACAAAATACTCAAGTGTAAAAGAACAATAATGCTTTGTCTTTTCTTTCAGCTGTATCTTTTAAGTAATTGTTGGCCATTATTAATGAATTCCACAAGCACGAAATCCACAGCCTGTCTGTCCCGCGGATAAATGACGGAGTAATGTTGAGACTTAAAATAAGTTTGTGCACATGTCTGAAGCAAAGTGAAGCCTGACATGTGACTTGATGCACGCTATAGATATGATAAAAGTTGGACATGTTTGATAGGTTCAATCAGTAAAGCTTGGTTTTTGCAATTTTGTACATGTAACTTGTGCATTCTGAAAAGACAGTACATGTACATGTATGTACATGTACAAAAATCGACCTTGAGCGTAAATTGTTTTCTAGGAGCCATTGACTCCTAATTTTATTTTTCTCTGTAATATAGTGCAGTTTTTATATGTATGCAGGCTCAGCGTTTTGTGTGTGTGTGTTTGTAGTGAACATGAACAAAAATGCGCAGGATGCAGTATGCCGATTTGTACTGATCTGGTCGTAGAGTTGCAAAGAAACACAGAATGAGCAGCGTTCTGAAGACAAAACTGGACATCACGATGATGGACACTGTCTTCAAGGTCTTGGTGTGGATGCAGTTTGCTGGTCTTGCTCCTTGAGCAATTGGGTTGTCATTAGGGATGCGTCGAGATCAGGAACAGTCTGATGTAGGTGAACAGTATTGTCAACAGCAGTGTTGGGGATTAGGAAGGGATAGGGGATGACTGCAAGGGGTGGTCTGAAAACCATGGACACAGTGGGCGCTGTTCAACGGTGGTCGCTATACGTGTTGATAAGTCAAGCGAGCGATAATGAAAGCTTAAATTTGTAAAGTTAACACAAAATAAAAGCAAAGACGAGACACATACATGTAATCCTGATCACCATTTATTGTTCTGTGCTCAAGATAAAATTGCATGCAACCTTAATACAACCATCAAATATCCTTTTTACTTAGGTTAACCAAAATGGAAATACCGTTTCCCGTAAACATTCTGGTAATGAGTTGGTTAAGACTAGCTATTCTGGTTAATTGGGTTAAAACAGTTATGCT